TCATACAGTCAACCCCATCAACCAAACCATTCCCATTGAAACATTTAAGGAATTCATTTTTGAAAAAGAGTTGGTTTTAGGTTCCAGCATTGATTAACACTAGTGTATGTTATTTGTATTTTTAGTTACTCTTATTTTATGACACTTGCATGTTGAGTTGCTTGAGGTGCCTGGGATTTAAGATTTTCATTGCCAACATGTACGCTGTATCTGTTGTGCAGATGACAAATAAAACCTTTGAAACCTTTGAAACCTTTTGAAGCATATGTGGGAACCAGCACCTGCCCAAAGACAACATAAGCATCATTAAAAATGTTCAATAAATATCGCAAAGTTATTTTGTACAGGATGTGCAAATATGTTTTCCATGGTGCACCACGCTTCTTACCCAGCGTTAGCTGCCAAAATGCAAAGTGTGGACATCTAATGTCTCTTAACTCTCAGTACACAACAAAATTCAGTCCTGTGTCCGTTTCCAGGAAAAGAAGAGCTTCTGTAAATGATGCCAAAGGGATCAATGACGTCCATCCAGGACATCCAGAGATCTGAATGGAGTAATTATGAGTCATCTTTAATCAACCAAGCACCGGTCACACCAGACAAAGAAGCCATATCACCTAGACAGGCCTATATAGCTCTCGCTGTGCTTTGCTTGGTCAAAATGATGAGCACAATGGACATGTTCATTATATCTGGTAAGTTGATCTTTTGTGTGCACATGACAACACGACCTGTCAACAAACACTATATCCTGCTTCTAATTATTTGAGATGGGGATTACAGATACATTGTTTTTATTTTTATTTAGGTGTCCTCCCCAGAATTCAGACATCCTTTGATTTAAGTGACATGTCAGCTGGATTTTTCCAAACAGGTAATAATGAAGCATCTTCTTGACAGACACACTCACACACCATCTATCTTGAAGCGATTAATGATTGAAATTCACAAATCCATTTTCTGGTCCTGCATTTGAAGACTTATTAGTTAATTTAGAAAAGCTGCAGATCATGTCTCCTATCTAAATGTTTGCCATATGATCATTTATCATTTTTCTCTATATATTGGCATCAGATTGTGTCTTTAGTTGTGTGGATGAAGGTAGATATTGCAAACAAAATGCATTTCTGAACAATGCATTGTGTCATCTTCTGACTTCTCTGTGACGTTACATTGTACGGCGGGCAATGATTTTCTGATCAATGTAAGCTATAGATTGCCTCCTAGATTTTAGATAGAATAAATGTGTTTTTTTTACCATGTGTTTTTTAATAGACCTTTGACCGATCAGCTCCAAAATATATTAATGTGAAGTAATAATTCAACCAAGTTTTGTAAAAATCCCCCCATGCATTGTTAAGTTATTTTGCATGTACTCACACTCAACATGAATCTGTGCTATTTGTGCTTTAGCGCTGGTGTGCAGGTTAATTGTGGAACTTGTGATAGAAGTGAATTGCAGAATTTTGTTGGTTTTTGCAAGACAAAAAAAAAAAGATTGGACACACACACAAGCAAACAATCATGTTTTTGCCACACTTTGGTTCTCTGTTGGTCAGAGATCATACTTACCTTCAATATGCTTTTCCTGAGAAGAATTTTGCAGGAGTTCTATTGGGGGGAAAAAATTGTATTTTCTTCATTAATTATAAAAGTATGATTCACATTATCAAAAGGAATTAACATGTGTAAATGCACTTACAGCTGTCTTTGCCAGTACCCCACTTTGGTCCCCTCTCTTTGGTTACCTTGGGGGCCGCTTCAACCAGAAATACATCCTGATGGGTGGTATTTGTATATACACAGTGACAACTATCTGCAGCTCTTTTCTGACCAAGTCGGTAAGTGAGAGGTGTCTTTACATACAGTAGGTTAGGGTTAGAGAGCATGCAATAGAAAGGATTTTATTTTTTATTAGATTTTCTTCCTCTATTATTCAACCTCTTCCTGCACTCACTATGGATATTAATTGAATTAATTTTGTTCAAAAGAGTCTGATGGGAAGTTAGTAGTTCAGGATAATAATCCTTAGGGCTACGAACATGCAAAACTTAGATGCTTGACAAATATTAGATGAGCCATCAAAGTGAATAGATCTGTTGTGTTGTGCAGTTTCCTTTGTACTCAAATAAGTATTGTAGAATTGTTGTACTGTTCTGGGCAGCGGGAATGGTGGATTTTAAACTGTAAGGTCTTTGTGTTATTTGTGACTCAACTATCCTGAAATGCTTCTATTATGCTTTCTTGATTTAATAGCTCTTCTGGCTTCTGGTTTTGTTACGATTCATGGCTGGGATAGGAGACAGCGCCATTTCCACAATGTCTACCCAGATCCTCAGTGTCCTCTTTAGTGGGGGTCAACTGACCACCATGTTCTGTATGTTTGCCAGCCTTACTGCTTCTGGATGGTAAGAAACAAACTCAACTAAAAATCATGAATGCAACTGTAAGCATGGATTGCTGTGACACATTTATAATGAAGCTCTGGCATGTTGGATTTGACAGTGAGCTACACAACATTGCACTGACAACAGATTTAAGACAATTCAATGCATTTGTCTCTCAACGTTTGATGCAGCACTTGACTATGAAAGACAATCTGCAGGTAAACAATACAGTGCAGTGACAAGTCTCAGCCTGCAAGATCATTTTCAGTGTACTGAGATAAACTGAAAGCTTTCATTTGCCATTACTTGACTTTCAAGTGATTTTCTTTTTTTTTGTTTTGTTATTTTTACCAGTGGTCTTGGATTAATAGTTGGTGCTGGGATAACTACTCTCACAGGGGATTGGCGATGGGCTCTCAGGGTGAGAACATTTTCATTGTCATTAATGTGAATGTTAATTGGAATATGGAAACAGAGAGAGAGTTATCCTTATATTTTTTGTGTGTCAGATCATTCCGATCTTGAATGTCGTGGGAATTATATTGGTGGGTTTATTACTCCCTAATCAAGTCAGAAGTGCATCATATACCAATGGCCAGGAAGTGAAAAAGAAGAGCACTTACGGAGAGGATGTCAAGTATCTTTTGAAAAAGTAGGCTGTTGAAATGAATACTGTATAAGTGCTTTTGCCTGGTGAAAGATTCTATGGTCAACATGTGTGATCCTGCTCTCATTAATGCTGCTGCTAAAAATTTAGCAAACATTATCAAGAAACAATCTTTGATCAACATTTACCGATCTTGTTTTGTTCCTCCAATTCTAGTAAAAGTTATATATTGTCAACACTCGCATTCGTGGCTGCGAACTTCTCCAACTCAGCCATGACTGTCTGGACGTCAACTTTTATGTCCAGAGCTCGGGTCGCTCAGGGAACCCAACCACCGTGTAATAATCTGCCCTGTGACTCAACAGACAGGTGCAGCATGACCTTTGAACTGTCTCACCCTTCATTTGCATAATTTCCTTCAGAATCACAACAGAGTTTTAACAGTGCTGTCTGCCTCTGCTCCCTCTGCAGTTATATATTTGGTGCTGTGACAATTCTGACAGCTTTTCTGGGCGGGGGTCTTGGCGCTGGTTCCTCCAGACAGTGGAGGGACAAGGTGCCAAATGTGGTCATCTGCACTGCAGCCATTCTGGGTTTCGTCCTGTGTTCCTTTTTCTTCATATTTATGGCATCAGAAAGCATTCTGGTCACTTATGTAAGTGATAAACTAATTTTTTGGTGTCCTCCAGTTAAATTACTGTTTGAATGTTATATCTTGCTCAACTGCCGTAGTCCAGACAAAAATATCTGTCTATCCTTAATCCATCATAACCCCATTAACATCGCACTAGAATTAAACAGCAACTTAAAAGTTTACGTTTTCCTTTAATTTGTTCTTATCAAATAGTTTTTTCAATTCACTGAACTTGTCCAGATAAGCTCAAGGTACGGTAGATAACATATGCATGTGATTTCTGAGGCTCTTTAAACAGGCATAGCATCTGGTCTGGCTATTTCACACAGTTCACGATCAATCATTGGTAAAAAAATATTGTAACAGGCTCATAAAGAATGTGTAATTATGGTAAAAACTGCTGAACAAAAGAAGTTTTCAACGAAAAATCTAAATTCAGAAGCTGTAATAGGGCCTGCGCTTACGACTGTCTCTGCAAAATGCCTTCTGTAGTAGGACTGGGCGATATGACCTCAAATCAATATCACGATAATATAAAACTTCTACCTCGATCATGTTTAATGAAACCTTACCCCCCCACCGGATCGTGCTCTTGACGTGTAAAGCGAGTACAGGTCAGCAGAGTGATGAGGAGGGTGGACATGCTGCAGTGTAGTACAGTTCAAGGTACACGGGCCACCACTGCAAAATGAAAGTAGTGGAAAATAAACAGTTCGTGAATGCACGCATTGAGAAAGTATGACAATGTCAGTGTGAAAGATTTAGGTGGAAGGCATCTATTGGCAGAAATTGAATATAAAACAACTGTAGTGATGTTTTCACCAGTGTGTTTCATCTAAATTGTACAAATTATTTTTTTTCTTTACCCTAGAATGGCCCTTAATATTTAAATACTTTATATTTACATCAGGAGCGGGTCCTCTCTATGGTTTTCATGACAACTGAAGGCTGCAACAGGTTCCCTGTCATGTTTGGAAGGGGAGGGTGAGATGAGAGGTGTTCAGCTGCAACATGCAACTTCACCACTAGATGTCACTGAATTCTACACACTGAACCTCTAACCAAATTAACCGACATGAGGAAGATTAAGTCACTGAGAGGTTATAAATGTGGGTTTCAATACATTTTTGGTTAATTGCCCAGCCCTATTATATAGATTTTAGTAAGAGAATACTACTTTGAACAACTTGTGCTGAAAACTAACTATGGAAGTAGAAACCACACAAGCCTAGAGAGATGGAACACTGACATTTATCAAAATGCAAAGAATACCTTCCTCCCATTTAATTTGACTTCATTCTCCACATTTCCTCTTTCAGTCTCAACTTTTTCACTTCATTTTCAAAATGCAAAAGGAAAAGAAAGAACCTTTTTTTTCCTGACCCTAACATTCTTCTGTGGTGAATGGAATACTGTGAGAGATTATTTGTTTTACATGCCACAAAACAAGTTGAAATGTTTAGGATAAAGTTAAACTAAATCAGAGGAAGATTTTCTTTTCCATTTCAAGGAAAGAATTGTCAAATAATTTAATAAATTAGGTAAAGATGTCAAGAGTAACGTCAACTCCTCTGGTCCTCCAAATCAAGTCAGAAAAGTTATAGAGAGCATCTCATCCTGGGAGTGTATGGTTAACCATACCTATATTTATTTATCCATTACCAGCTATTTCAGTTTGATTGAATGAAGTAGAAGTAGTAATGTCAGTTTTTTTGATTTATTCTTAAAAACTTAACTTTAGTCTTGAAATGTCAACTTTATTCCTGATATGCAAAATGGAAGAAACTTATTTCTCCTCTGATTAAGTTCAACTTAATTCGTGAATTGCAAAATGAGAATGAGGATAATAATCACAAACACTGATTATTGAAGAATTGATGAATTTATAATTTACTCTGTGCTCTGAATGCCTCAGATATTCATTGGCTTGAGGGGGATATTCATAGTAGCCCTTCATTCCGTTGCTGCTGATATAACTCTGGTGAGTTTGATGGTGCATTTTGGAATACAAAATACACAACATTCTGCTGTGAGTTGACAGATTGTTGCTTTTTATCTCAGTATATTGTTGTTCCAACTCGGAGGGCCCTAGCTGTGGCTGTCATGTTCACATCCACAGTTCTCGGGGGAACCTCTGGAGGGTCTTCTATAATAGGAGTGGTGAGAAATAGTTCCACTTTCGCATAGTCTACTTCCTTATAACTGTACTGACACATCAATAATATCTCAACTGGACTAACCTGCTTTTTCTGTGCATCGCTGAGCATGAATGCTGTCTTCACCTGTAGGTCTCTGATGCTATACGCAACTCTAACCCTCCAAGTGATGACTGGAGCTTCCTCAGTCTGAAGTACAGCCTCCTGATCTGTCCATGTGTCGCAGTACTGTCTGGAATCTTGTTCATAATAACCTCTTTCTACATCGTTGAGGACAAAACGGCAGTTCAGGAATGGATTGATGGTAAGGAGGACCTCTGGACAGCAAAGCATCACTTAATAATGACACAGTATCACTGGAGCTCAAAAATACAGCTCTGTACATTGAACCTCTCTGTGTATCTTTGGTTACATGCTAAATATTTTGAGACAACTAATTAGTTAAAACAAGATAGCATTCCTTGCATTCCTCATTCCCCTTATCTGCACACATGCACTAATAAGGTGCGGTTTGTTTAGTTTTCTGGAAACTCTGGAGTGTGTTTCTCAACTAGATCTGAGCTTAACATATGCCCCTCATTCTGATGGATTGATAAATGGCATATTAGCAGCTGCACCAACACAGGGACTTAGTTGGCATCACCTACGTCCATAAAAGATGGTTCCTCTTAACACAGTCTGATAAGATAATATAAACGTTTCTGATCCCACACCTGGGAGAGTCACTTGTTACAGCAACACATAGAATGAGGAAGTCAAGAGAAAACATGAAAGTATCAAATAGAATAAAATAGGTAGTAAAATGGAAAAATAAAATCTAATTTAAATATATAAATACAATATGTACATCACATAAAGCTTTAACCAGAGATGGAAATATTATCTGGAGATAATTGTTCTTGGGTAAAGTGCAGTGGCACAGAATGATTGCAGCAGGATTACTGTTTTTGTACATATATATATATATTCAATGAAAATGGTTTGTAAATATTTCAGAATAGGAGGCACATATATGGTATAATTTAAATTGTACTTGTGATCTAGAAAGAAATCAAGCAATGTGACAAGGACATAAAAGAACATACTTAACATGCACTCTGTGTGTGTGTGTGTGTGTGTGTGTGTGTTTGTTACTAGAGAATTCCACACAGCAGAACCCTTTATCCGAGGTCCCCGGGAACAGAGCAAGACGTTAAATTAAAAACTGCTGATGTGGAGAAAAGGATGACCCTAACCCTAAACCTACCCACAAAGGATCCTGTTCTTATTACTTTACAGCTTTATGCTGATGCAGATAAAATGTTTAAATTTAAATGTCACCTAAAAGACATTTTTATTTATTTGTTCACTCATCGAAATCAAGTTCAGGGTGTGCAGCAAACAACACATTCTAAACCAGTGGTTCTCAAACATTTTCTGATATGCCCATCTTTGGAGTAAGAAAGATTTCCAGGCCCCCTGCCCCACAAAATTGAAACAGTTTAGTTATATGTTGTGCAAAATAAAAACTTCCATTACAACTGTGAATACCATTTTTTTGACATTTTGTCACTAGATTGATCCATCGGACTGTGCTTAAAAATAAATATAACATATACATATACACATATTCAATGTGCAATCACCTTTTTAGAACAATACCAATACAATTAAATATGTGCAAAGGAAAAACAACAAATACATATTTTTGACAACAAAGATGAACAAGTCAATTTGTGACCGCTCAATATTATCATAACCTGTTTTCTGCTGCACATCTTTTCAAAATAATAACAATAAAGCAATTGCAGGTATATATGAAGTCTCTTCATTTGAGAGGGCTCATGTCACTGTATTACAGTATTAGTGGTGTCTACTCTTGCATATTGCGTTTTTTTGAGTTATATTAATATTTCTTTGCTGTAGCACAACATGTTTGTTTACGTCGTACATTGATCTTATGGGCTTGCAGTCACTCTGCTCTGCGTACACTCATTTAAATACTACTGCCTCTACCATGTTTGCACCTGTTATCATTTACGCAATTATTTTTGTAGATCACCCGCGAAACGCTCATCAACCAAACGCTCACACTGTTTTCACTCTTTATTTGTGATCTTAGTAGATCAGGCCCTTACTGTATTCAAATATGAACTCCTGTTGAGGGCTGTGAAGTATGGTTTAAAGTTAAATGCTTATGTTTTCTGTATGGAAAAGTTAATTTTCATTCAATTATAAACAATAATAAATGCACAGCCAGTTGTTTTTTATATCGGTTTAGTCCCAGGTACCAACAGAAACTCTGACAAGAGTTTCTCTTTTAGGTGACTCATCACAAAGATAATGGGTTTGCATATATGCTGTAAGTATATTTACAGCAGAAGATGTTGACCGCTAGCTTTTGCAGGCATTAGCTTTGCCTCTAGAGAGCTGCTTTGCTGACACCAGGATTCAGAAATGATTGCATTCAGTGCTGAATGACTAGGATCCACTTGTTTTTCTTCTCTCAACGATTCTCCTGAACTTTGCTGACACCTTTCAATGCTCATGTGGCCAGTTCTCTTGCTCAGTCTAATTCATAAACCCTGGGCAGAATATGCTGAATTTGCCCAAGGATGCACATTACGGATCATCAGGTGAACTTCTTTGTCTATAACCGGCTCAGCCAGCATGCAGCTGCTGCCTCCTAATGACAACCTGAGGGACCCCAGGCTGGAGTTGAAGATGCAGGATGTAAATATAAAATATTTAAATATAAAGGGCCCATTCTAGGTTATAGAAAACAACTATTCACACAATTTAGATGAAACACACTAGTGAAAACATGATAAGAATTATTTTGTAGTCAATTTCTGCCAATAGATCCACCCTCTCTCCTAAATCTCACACACTTAACATTCAACTGAACTTCCTCTCACAAACATGTATGATACAACTTACATTTGTCTACTCTCTGTCATGTCCTGCCATGACACAACTGTTTACCTCTGCTGCTTTATAAGTGTGGAGGATATGTCACACATCTGGGCGTATAGCATAATGACTTTTGACATAATACATCCCATTAACCCTAATCCTAACCCAACCCTACCCCTTACCATAACCCTATTCTAAACCCTAACCCTAGAATCAAGTCATAATACTCAAACAAACCTTTGAATTTGTGAGAACTTTCCTCCCAAAGTCAAAATGTGTTTACCCAAAATTGGCACATAAAAACTACACAAAGACAAGCACACACTTATACAAGCAGAGTCTCTGGCTGAGTATGTCTTACTCATGTTGAAGGTTTCCTCTGCAGCTCTCGACACTTTTTCTGTTGGGGTTATCTTTAGTTTGGGCCTGTTATCAAGCTTGCTGGGATTTGGAAGATCCACTGCGTGTGTGTGGGTGTGTGTCTGTGTAAAACCACAAGATGGCGTAGCTGTATCAGTGTGAGAAAGGCTACACCAAGGAGGCATCCAACTCAAGCAGACTGAAATCCAGTAGTTTTGGATGTTTGCACCAGCACGACTCCTAAATAACTCATTGAGCATCTCGTCATGAAACTGACATCGATGCCTCTTGCAGTGGTCCCTGTGATGCATTGCCATGTTAAACAACCATTTGAGTTTCTACCTTTGACACCTGTTCTGTTTCACATAACCCTAAGAGCTGATTGTGAGACTGCGACCCCTCCGCTGAGTTCATGGAACTTGGTGGAATCATTCATCATCTTGAACTTAGCTGCTCTTGTCAGACGCTAGACGATCACAGACCAGACAAACAGGACATATTTACATACCCAAAATGACAGCTGCTTGTCAGTCCGTCTGTAAACTCTTCAGATGGCTGCTGCAGAAATGTCTCGACATCACCTGGTAAATCCTAAACAGCTGCATGTCGTTGCGTGTCCCCATTGTTAAGTGCTAGAGTAAACCAAGCAGGGGGGTCAAAGGTCATTGCCCTCATTACATTCAGGTACAAGGTCATGGGATAATTGGGCTGCGTTGTCATCATATTATTGCTTAGTCTTGATAATTGCTGCAAAGAATGACAACTTGACTCAAGTGGAATCTTTTTTTTTAAGAGGGGATGACATGCAGCAAAAGGCCCAGGCTGGATTTCCACCCAGGCAGCTGCGGTAAGGACTGTACCTGAGTGTGCCGGAGTGGAGCCATTTATCAGTATGCCGATTTGTGACATTTTTGTCCAAAAATTTTCCATCAAGGAGCTGAAACTGTTGAACTTAACTTGATGTTTACAGAAAGATGAATGCTGCACTCCAAGGGCATAAAGTCATTGTCATTTGTGTCGGAGTTTACTGGAATTTCCTTTTGTTTTATTTGTTCAGCCTCGAGTTGTCATTTTCCAGAAGTTGTGCGATTACTCTGTATGCCCAGGGAATATATTGGACAGCAGGACATGTATGTGGAATAACAAACAAGCACACACGCACACTAAAAGGTATGTGGAAAACATTCTAGAGGGAATGGTTCAACCTGCAATTAAAAACACAATGGTTATTGTGCACCATGTTTCTACGCACTTTATCTGCATACCTCTCCGTTTCCCCTGTCGACCCTGGCTGCACAGGAAACTGTCACAATGGCTAATAAATTGTCCAGGCCAATCAATGACGGAGCCAGGAGCCAGGGGGAGAGCGGATACAGTCAGTGTTTACTCAGGGATGGGGCAGAATTTCAACCCTGAAAACAGCAAGGGTTTTGATATGGTTGAACAACATGCTGCTGCACACAACATGGGAGTGGTCAACAATCAGAACGGCATCTTGATATTATAAATAACCGGGAAATGGCTGGTGTACATCGTACGTATTTACTGTAGGAGGAGACACAAGATTATCTACTTGACGCTATTCTCTCCCCTTCCACAGATCAGCTGCAGAAAATTGATAAGAGGCGTCAGACCACATTTGTGGATGTGAAGTTGCACTCTCTCCTTATCGCCGGCAAACTGCTGCAGTGACATGACATCATATGGAGGCCTAAGAGCCCTTATCACCTTCTGCACTGCCCCTTATTTGGACAATTACATCATACAGACCGTCCTTGTCTCTGCACATCAGCTGTTGAGGACAAATCTATGTTCTCTGTTTAACTGTGAATATTCAGGGCAAAAACATGAGAAGTTGAGAATGTGACCTAGGAATTAAAAGGTTTATTATTTATATGCTGCAATGGGGTGTTCATGTTTTTTTTTTATGTGAGGGGTGATACAAGCACAAATGAGATGAGTTGATTGGATTGTTGGGGGTGATAATACACACAGGCCCAGACACACATGCAAGTTGTTGGCTTTAATTAGTCTTTTGGTGATTGTGAATGGAAATACAAATACAGCAGATGCAGCAAAATGATGATTACTGGAAGAAACACAACACAATGTCCTGGTATAAAAAATGTGAATGACATAACATCATTATATATATTATGAAGATTATTGATAAAAGGCTGGTGAGAACAGTAATCAAGCTTTTTCTTACTGTTAAGTAAATAACTTTTGTTTGGAACACAGAGTATAAATGTGGACAGCAAAGGAAATGCAGCCAAATCTGAGGTTTGCCCTATAATGGCATATGCACATTCTGGTCCTATGTATTTAGCATTCCTGCTCCAGAGGCTTGCTGTGGCCTCTGGGCTGCAGAGAGCTGATTTAAAGACACAGCCATGGCAATGGGGTAATTACAAAGACCCATGTAGCCTATAAATATGAGCAACAGAACCAGATCTGCAAATCAGTCGCAGCCACACGGTAGCTCAAGTTTCTCCAGTTAGGCAGAGCTTGACGTGAGTTTTTCACTTGCGTGAAGAATGCAGTCGGAAGAAAATGATTCAAGCACACAGAGAGCCGAGTGATGATATCGAGGCAGACAGTAGAGTCGGGGCTGGTTTTACCTCCCAGACAGATCAACAGACAGACTGATGACCCAGGACCGAGGAGTCCAGCTTGGATGGAGCAGTCGAATAAATAATTAAACGAGCAGATAAAAGATGCCGTCTCTGCCCCTGAGCACTATATTAAGTTGATGCTCTCTCTCTCTCTCTCTCTCTCTCTGCTGCCTGCAGTCACAGCATAGCCCCCCAGATCAGACTTCTCTGAAGTGGAGACATCAGGCCAGATCTATTCAAATCTTCAGCTGCTCTGCCACTAGACATTCTGTTGCTTGAGTGGGGGGGTTTGTACTTACAGGCTACTGTCAGGCACAGACAGCCCAGAGGTCAGAAGGTCCCAGTGGATGAGCAAAGGTCGGGATGGCAGAGCCCACACCTTGAGATCGACTGAGGCCTAGACGGCTCCGACCCTAAAAACAAATGCATGTGGAGAGAGCCGTACTGGGGTGGTCCGGTGTGCCATCAGGCATCAGTGAAGCCATTGTGTGGAAATGTTTCAACTTGTTGATGGTAACAGCTTAGTCTTAAGAGGGTCTCTTGATGGGAACATCATCAGTATCACTCCATTGAAGGGGAGCTACTACAACCAGAATGAATTCCTATGAATGACTGACTGACCTATGTGAAATGAGTTAGATGCTTCATTGCCTGAGCACTGAGTCGACCATTTCTGCCAGTGGTATGAGCTGATGACATGGGTCAAACAGAAATGAACTAGAACATTTCTTATGCAAGAATACAATTGAACTAAATTGTTTGAGCTGGAATAGAGGCCAGAGAACTGAATACACAGTATGACAAAGCAATTACAAATTACTCCTTTGTGATTATTGTTATTGTTGTCCTTTTTTGGTCAGAGGCAGGAAACCACACGACAAGACATTTAATGGTGGATTTGCTCTTCCAACTCATTTAGTCCACTTCCTGTCTTTGCCTGATAAACAAAAATTGTGCATAAGGCTCCACCACAGCTTTTTAAGCTAAAATGCAAAGGGTAAAGGTGTAAGAGTTGTTAAAATATATTCCATACAGAGTGATAGTTGGACTTATACTATATATAATGTACCACTGCTGCTTTTTTCTTTATTCTTTACCAAACATGGGGAAGTGGCCCGTTCACTTGCTCCTTCAGGACCTTTAACATAGCTTACATATTGTACTCAGAGAAACTGGGACACTTGGTCCCCGCTGCAGGAAAAGGAAATGTGTCTATTTAAGTGGATGTAAACTTGGCTGATTGAAGAAACAATGGGGGAATCACAAGCTGATGTTTGATTAGAGAAAAAAAAATCCTTGATTGCTTTAATTGTTTGGAGCTTTGTTGATTTGTTTTAATGTAGATTCTCTTTATCTCCATGGTTGAAAATCAAAAAGATAGGGGATACCATAGATCACTGCATACATTAAAAACAACAACAATCAACAACAAAGACCAGAGCTGCAGGAATAACTACATCACCTGAGTTCTGAAAATAGTGAGATAACAAAACCCCAGCAATTTTACATTAATTTAACAACCTTATTAAGTCAACAAAATACAACTTAAGCAAAGACTGAGATATTATTTCACCGTTTTTAACTCAATAACTGACCTGAAAAGAGTCAGTGAAAGAAATTGATACATTTGCTCTAATCTGTTCAATTACTTCATAATGAATTACAGCCAAACCATGAAGAAGATAAATTGAAAACACTGTGGGTTCTTCATGGGAAAAGAGGTGACGTTTGCACCACCCACAAAGCTGATAGACGCACGTGTCACTGGGACATTTAAACTTTGTTGGCAGAGACAAGTTAGAATGTGCAGAGTGTTATCGTCCTGAAGGGGACTGGGCTCGGCGATTAGCGGGTTATCTCCCATCCTGCACTGGAGGCTTGGCCCTGAGCTGAGACAGGAAGGAAGGCTGAGGCTGTGACTCAGAGCCTCCAGGCCACTATAGTACCATAATGTGAGAGATAGGTCCAGGTCCACCAAGCTACCATGCAAGAAAAAAAACACCCAGGATCCCACAGACATGAGCAGCATATCAAGCACATCCCAAAGAAAGGGGAGGCTAGGTGGGGGCTCCAGAGAGGGAGACAGGAACAACTGTTTACTGGGGCTCCCTCCTAAGCCCTCCACATGAGACCACTGGCTGGTTTGGCCGGCTTCTCTTTTCCTGCATCCTGGATGTCAGACTGCAACATTACAAAAGCAGTTTGGCTGCTCCATGCATCATACTTTCCAGATTCAAACACAGCAGATTTTCAGACATCAAAGTTATTGGGGAGTAAGTACATAATTACTTTGAATTTAGCTCTGCAAAACAAATGCCTTGGAGGCTTTTGTGTGCAGTGGAACTTTTTCATTTCAGTCTAAATGAAACAATACAGGTCAACTAAGTGCAGACCAATGCATTCATACCTCGGCTCTGATAGCCTTGCAATGCCAAACGCCTGCACGACAGAGCCAACCAGGCAGCCAGCCTTCTCCCTAGTTGATGCCAAGATTCAGCCTCCCTCTGCCTCTGCACATATCTTCCTTCTACCAGAAGTTGTTTAAGTTTTTTATTGGTTTGAATAAAAACAAAAGGCTTGATTTTCATTTCACTTTAAGAATATTAGCGTATGGATTCATGCTTTTGTTTCACTGAGGAACAAGGCTTCACCAGGATGTAATTAGGAGACTACACAAGAGCCTATTGGCCAGGGTCCCCTCTGGTTTTCAGCAAAATCAAACTAACCTTGTCTTGCTCTGCCTCCTCCGCACGCCCACCTCTCACACACACACTGAACTCTGTACTCACAACATCTCAGCTTTTCTTGCTCTGCCTCTTGTGATAGAATTCCATCCTCGGTTCTGAATGAAAAAATCCCCTTTACTTCCCCCCTCCCGTGACACAAAGTTGATCATATACACAGCACAATAATCTGACAATTAGCCAGGGATATTTCAACTCCTGACTGAACACAGGTAGCTCAGAAGCATCCATCTGCATGCAGGACTGGAGCTTTCCAAGTCGTTCACAAACAGGTAATTTCCCTCCGTCATCTCACAACTCTGGTGCCAGCAAAGAACAAAGTCCCTGCAGTCATTAGAGGCTTTTCCATGTCTTCCTGCCATGGAGTGTAATGAAGCCAGGGACAGCGGCTGCTGCTGAAACTGTCTCTGCCAGCTACATTGTATTCATCTTTTCTTAACCAAACCAGATGATTTTGTTTCCTGGGCTTATTCTGTAACCACTGGGAATGCCACAGACAAACAGGGCCAATCGTAGGATTCATTCAGTTTTATTTTCCATTCACTGCTGTGCCCGGAACGGCTTGTTGTGATGAAAATGTTTTGTAAGAGATGGTTTACAAGTTTTCCAGCAATGTGACATTATTTGTCAGGGTAAGAAGTCAGGGGTCTAATAGGTCTTCTGTAGTGGTGAGTTTAACCTATTTAGGGCTGTTATCTTTGGTGTAGACATATCCCAAATGAGGGCAGTGCAGGAAACTCATCAGACTTAAATTAACAAGAAACAATTTGTTGGCATTTACCCTGAGACATTGTTTTAGGCAGATTATTACAAAGTCATCGTAGTGATTCTAGATTACTGTCCTATTTTTTCTATTGCACCTATATCCATGGAAGCTGCAAACCAGAGAAATTTGGGGACCACGCCTCTGGGCTGTGGTGCTCTTGAATCACTCAAACGTGGAAATTTGCTTATTTTGCAGTACATATACTGGCAGTTGTGCAGCATGCAATGGTAATACTGTATCTAATTGTGAACAGATAAACAGAAAAGGTTTTTGCATTGTTGTCTTATACATGTATATGGCTCCCTCTCTTCTGTCACAGTAACATTATATTTGTGTACAGGGTGTAAAGCAGTGATAATCGACGTAAAAGCGAATGTTGTAGTTGTTCCTGTTGTTATTATTGTACATTTAATGGCTCACTGCATTGATGGGGGCTTTGTTGAAATGAAATTTAATTTTACAAGCAATCACCACACATGATGATTACCGACCACACACCTGACCAGATCAATTCATTCAGAAAAGCAATCTGATCATCTCCAATTTGTTAGTTATTAATCATTTCCAGAGTCATGCACACACGAGTCACATGACCTGCCTGTTTCTACAGCCAGTACCTGAATGCATATCTGCCCACACAGATATCTGACTTGCTTTCACATGAGGCTCTGTTTGTCATGATGCAATAGATTGAGAAGTTACATTCAACTTACAACTAGGCTGTCTTTAATCAGAAACTGTCAGTATGACATGGTGCAGGGATAAATCAAGAAGAATAACTTTACATTTCAGATTCACGGAGAGAGAAATAACATTATCCCCAAGAGAAGACATATAGGGCACACAACCATGGGGTTTTAGCTTCATCTCTAAATGTGACACGTTATAGTGACCTGCATTCAGTATGGAAATGACATTTCAGCAGTCAGCAGCAGTCATTTGCTCCCTCATAAATATGATGGATGGAGGATAGATAAATAAATAAATAAATAAATGAATAAATAAAAGTCACACCCACCCACGCATCTCTCCACCAGAGTCAGGCTCCTTAGAAATAACAGAGAGAATCAGGTGCGGCTCCATCATAGGCTGCAGGCTCGTTGAGGGGAGGGGTTTTTACAGCCAGGTCACGCCCCCCCTGCACTGGAGAACTTGGTCCTGAGAGAAGAGAGAGAGACAGAGAGAGAGAGACAGAGAGAGAGAGAGAGAGAGAGCGAGCGAGAAAGAGAGAGAGAGAGAGACCCAGGAGCGCTCAGTCCGTCCGTCAGCGCGCACTGCGAGACAAAATATGTTCCCGACCAGAGCGGCTCCTGAGCTCCAACACCTCACATTACAATTTCACTGCGACTGATCCACACACATCCACTCACACTCACACCATCTGAGCCCGGTCCTCTTCAACTGCTCTCCTCCACGCGCTCTCTCTGATTTTTGGTTTCACTCTTTGTAAATATTCCTGCGCTGGATCTTTCGTGCCAGAAGATGTGCGTGGAGAGCGATGGATGCGAGATCGAGGGCTGCAGCAGTTCGGACGAGGTGCGCACGCTGTCGGGCAGCATGAGCCCGGCGCTCAAGTCCAACCCGGACCTTCACCCCTGCAGACCCGACCACAAATTCCGCGCAGCGCTGCTCAGATGCCGGTCACCGGCCGCCGCCGCCGGGATCCTCAGCTTTGGGAACGTGCTGAATTACATGGATCGATACACTGTAGTCGGTAAGTGACTTCTCTGAGCTGGGTCAGATTCTGTTTTAGTGATCGGATCTCTTTATTCAAATCTCTGAGGGTACATGCTCTAATTGCCGGTGTCTTGCGGAGCGCTCACCTCCGCTGAGCCGCGCGGAACAATGGGTTTGCCCATGAAGCGCAGCGGCGGCCAATCTGCAAGAAGCTGTTAGATCTGTTTGCATGGCTGTAAAATGTGTGTGAGTGTGTGTGCGAGTGTGTGTGTTTGTGTGTGTGATTCAATCAGGTAGATTAACACACGCGTCTTCTGTTATCACTTCAGAAAACGCTTTGACATGAATGGTTTTCTTTGCCCTGGCTGGTTGATGATTGGTGATGGATCAATTAGGACGATCATCACTCCATCCGCGAACCCGACTGTGTGTGTGTGTGTGTGTGTGTGTGTGTGGGTATTAGGGAGTGTGTGTCGCTGTGATCTCATCTGTCACACCAGTTTCAACTACTGCAAAATGAGAGAGAGAGAGGGAGAGAGAGCATCAGTGTGAATGATCAGTCAATAGTTTCTCGTCCTTTGTGTTAAGAGATTGAGTCCTAACATCCTCAGTCTGTGTTTTTCGCACTGTGATGCTGATAAGATGAGGCCACGTGGTGTGTGTAAAACCTGCGCACATTTGTCCCTCACTAGAGATCCAGAGCATATTATATCCAACCTGAACACCATGTGTAGAGAGAAATTAAACCTATAGTCTTTGATTATTTCAAATGAGGTAAAACAGTATTTGTTTGAGCCTATGGGGTTGATATATTAATGGATTATTACCAATTAAAGGTATCAGACATTATAAATGAGTTTAAATAAAATTCAAGAGGAGAGTTCAGCAGTTAAGGACAGATTCCAAAGAGCAAAGAGGCTAAACATATTTTTTTGTCAATGCATTGTAATGTAAATGATCAAATTATAAAAACAATTCAGTTTGTAGTCTGACAACATGGGCTTAATTCTGTGTGAGTATCAATGGGATCCTTTGGCAGGTTTCTATTCAACAAATCTGACATTTTATTTTGCATTGTTTTAATTGTGCGACCTCTTTTTTCCAATAAATAGCCCAAATCTGTGTGCAAATAAAGATATTGTTAATCTATAACAGGTCAACATTTTATCTTGCTATATCCTGATAACTGGGTGTTGGATTTCGCTATGATCAACGCTTGGACCTTAGACTGTGGCGATGAATGGGTTAAACATTTTGCTGCAGCATGGAGAATGCAGAGAAGTGTGTTCATGGCGAGAGTCGGCTCTTCTGTACGGAGACATGCTTTCCTGGTTAAAGTGCAGTTTCTATTCATACACTCACTGACTCACTTACATGATTTAGTCACACAACCCATGCAGTCTACTTGAAAATCTTGCATACGATCATATTCATTGAATTCTCGTTTTTTAAATGGCATAATATTTATGTGACATCAATATTTCTAAAACTGATAAATCTGAGAAAATGGTGTCTAGCGTAATTCCATGAGGAGCCCCTGGCAGCAAGGAGGGGCTATCACAAACAGAACAATGTGTACTTAAGTAGCCACATGCCAGTGTCTCATCATCCTGAAGGATTCAGGTCCAGTCTATCCACTTTAAGGAGTCAAGCCACAACGCCTTGAATGATGGAAGCCCAGGATGATCATTACAGCAGGGCAAGGCTTTAGCTGCTCCACCGGCTGCCCCACCAAGAATGCGTTGATGTACAGTGGCATATCGAATCTTTGCATCATCAAGCACCACTCAGTCACAGCAGACAGCTGGAAAGGGCCACATCTGCATCCTCTGTCATGGGTGACTCAGTCTCCCCTCTAAAGCAGTGATTTGTTCTCCTGCCTCGTTACACCTCCCCACGCTTTGATCAGAGGAAAACCCCCATTAAGGGGCTCTAAAACAACTCCCTCTGTCATCCCCAGCCTGATCTTGTCTCTAATCTGCCTCTGTTCTTTGCGATACCTCGTGAGCAGCAAAGGGAGACAATCCTCTGCAGAGCCGTTCACTTTGCTGGACGTCCGAGTGCTTGCTGTTGCAGTGACAGGAGGGGGGAGTGAGATAGGAGAGATGGAAAGAAGTGGTGGGTGATGGGGGGGGGGGGGGGGGGGGGGCAGCCTGGGCTCACCCTCGTGGGGAGAGGCTGTGCTCACAGTGCATGGGATGCCGAGGTGGGGGGGCCCTTTCTTTTCCCCATCCCCTGCCACCTGAACACTACTGGACCGTGTTCCATTATGCATGTGCTGCATGTTCGTCAGACTGTCACACAGAATGACGACCAGCAGCCATTTGCTTCCAGCGTAACCAGTTCATACATTCTGAGCTGATCTAGCACGCGCTCTCCCTCCTGCCTCTATCACTGTAAGGCTTTCTCTCCTCTCCTGCTGTGCGAGCTACAGCGTAGTAGCAATTAGGTGGAGGAAACAGCGCATCTGCGTTGGTGACACACAGCGTCTGCTGTGTGTGTGAGGGCTCTTATTGTGAAGATGTATTTTAAATTGATATAAAATCAATATCCTTTTGCTGAATTAGGATATTTTTAATTGTAAGAAACAGATATTTAACTCCCTAATGTAATTTCTGATCTGATCAGATAGTTCTAGTTAAAATGGACCAGTTTGTCTACTTCCAATTGCCACCTTTCTCTTTCTCTTTCTTCCTGTTCTCGCTCTCCAGAGAGCAGTCTCCTCTTGCTTCCATCCACTCTGCTCTCCGCCTCTCCTGCTTTCTGTTTCTCATTTAAACCCCTCCAATAGCAGGTACCCAAACTCATAGATCTTAATGTCAATTAAGCAAGCATGAGCGCACATCCACAGAAAGCACACACACACACACAAAAACAAACACACACACACACCCACACACACACCCACACACACCCACATGAGAAAGACTCTGAATGAGGGAGGGGAGTTGTGAGGGGAGGGGCTGGCTGCTGCAGTGGCAGGCGGTCAGAGGGAAGTGGACGCAGAATGCAGGCAGTGCTGAGGCCGAGCGAGGCTGACCGCCCCCCACAAACGTCAAAAGGTCTTTGTACAAGCAGCCATTACTGTAGTGTGTGTGGATCACTGATGCATTGTCACAGAGACAGAGGGTGACCATTCCAGACACCAGGGCTATTCTGCTCCAACAACAATGATGGGAAAATTGCACCCCAGCATTGGACCGCTGCAGTGTCAAAAGACTTGGATCTTTCTGTTGATCCCTGGTGTCAGAGGTGAAGCCACACGCACACATAATGAAAAACAGCACACAGAAATTGCAGTTTACGATCCCAGCACATGACTTTTCCAAGACGATGGTAGACACCACAAAAGAAGAGAGAAATCACAATGTCTTTTTTTTTTTATAGGAGGTTGGTTGTTTTGTTCTGGGTTCAACAGATTTACAGCCAATATGTTTTATACAGGCCTTAAATATTTCATGCCAACACTTTGTGAAGAGTGGCAGCTTCAAAACAAAATAATTAAATGTGACTCAAGTTACTGATTTTTGTGTGTAAATATATATTATATTAGATTTATGAGGCAAGAGTTCTTGTCTGAAAATGGCAAAAACAGTGCATATTTCTGCAATTTCAATATTTCTATGTTGTGGAATTGGCAGACACAGACCACTATTGAGTTACATGGGTAATGTTGAGAGAGACGGTGTGTAACCAGTCAGCTACAAACTCCACGCGGTAAACTGGACTTCAGACTCAGCCGTCCAGACAGAGACCTGACGACGTGCCCCTTCCAGAATCCTGTGTTTGTTTTTATGACTGTCTCTGATGCAGGCAGGGTAGAAATGTGGAGCGTCTGGGACACTTGAGGATGTCCTGATGAGGTCGTCCGCTCACTTACTCACTGTTCGCTGCATCTCAGAACAGCTGGGAAATGAAGTATCCTAGATTGGAGTGGAGGAAGGTGCAGCCGGATGAGTTATGGTGCTTCGACGGGGTCACTTGGATCTGGCCTTTGGAAGCTGCCATTTAACCCTCAGCCACTTACAGTATATTCCATTTTGCTTGATGCGGTGCATAAGAGCCCTGAGGTTTAGTGGGATGCTTCATTTAATTTAATTTAAGGGGGCTTTGAAACCTTGAAAATCCTGGTGTTGGTTGCTCGGTAGTCCCACCGCAGACAGTCCAAGATCCTCAACAGCTTATCATAAAGTGGGGATTAAGTTTTTCTGAGAATATTAGGATGTGTGAGGCAGACACTCTGCACTTAAAGTTATTTGCTCGGTAATTAAGTAAAACCCTGATCTGCGTTAGCTCTAGCCACCCCCCTGTGCGCACCCAATATCACCCCCTCCTCAGCCAGCAGTGGGACAGCATGGTGTACTGACTGCCACCTAATCTGTGCTGGACAGAAAAGCCTTAAGATGAGTAGTCTCAGTCAAGCTGTCCTTCCTGGAATACCCCCAAAACACGGCCCCATGCTATTGGACAAGTACAAGACCCTCGCATGTGAACTTTTGACATGTAGACACAGATGACCATGAGGTAAGTAATCCTCTTATGGAAAGCTCTTTGTTACTCAGTCAAAAAGATGCAGCAATCCATCCAGTCTGACAGGCTATGCAAATTAATTCCTGGTAACTTCTACCACTTCCTTTGTGGCTACTCATTATCGGTGTCCGCAGAGGCCTGGGGGCTGCGTTAGCATTGATGACAGGGTAAATGTTTTGCTTATTTTCTGTCATTTGCATGTTTTTCCCTGTCAGTCGTCACAACCTGAATCTCCAAGACAGCGCTCCACTTTCAGTTCCACAGAGGCGAGACAAGACGGGAAGTGAACACAGTGTAGGTTGCTGCTTTGGAGTTTTAGAAATAAATAAAAATCTAAGCCGATAGTAAAGCAGTGTCACTATGCACGACAGCCCAAATATAGAGCGTCCCTGAGACATTTTTTTAACTGCTGGTAGCAACATGTCACAGCAGATCTTCTCAGTAACATGAATATGTCAGGGTTACACACACAGAGTGTCTGGTGAACTGCGCTCGAGCTGCTTTGGG